AAATACAAAGGTTTATAACAGAATAGTATGAAAAGCTATATGCCAACAAATCCCATAACCAAGAGGAAATGTATAAATTCTTAGAATTATACAACCTTCCAAAACTGAATCAAGAAGAAATAGGAAATCTCAATAGACCAATCACTAATAAGAAGATTGAAACAGTAATCAGAAACCTCCCCAAAAACAAAAGCCCAGGACCAGGTGGCTTCCACAGTTAATTCTGCCAAACATTCAAAGAATAATTAATACCTATCCTTCTCAAAGTCTTCCAAAAAAATTGAGGAGAACAAGACACTTCCTAACTTGTTTTACGAGGCCAACATTACCCTGATACCAAAACCAGACAAGGACAACACAAAAAATGAAAATTACAGGCCAATATCACTGATGAATGTAGATGCAAAAATCCTCAACAAAATACTAGCAAATCGAATACAGCAGTACATTAAAAAGATCACACACCATGATCAACTGGGATTCATTCCAGGGATACAAGGATGGTTTGACATCCACAAATCAATCAATGTGATACACCACCTTAACAAAATGAAGAATAAAAATCACGTGATCATCTCAATAGACACAGAGAAAGCATTTGACAAGATTCAGCATCCATTTATGATAAAAACTCCAAATAAAATGGGTATAGAAGGAAAGTACCTCAACATAATAAAGGCCATATATGACAAACCCACAGCTAATATCATCCTCAATGGTGAAAAACTGAAAGCAGTCCCTCTAAGAACAGGAGCAAGACAAGGATGCCCACTCTCGCCACTCTTATTTAACATAGTATTGAAAGTCCAAGCCGGAGCAATCAGGCAAGAAAAAGAAATAAAAAGGATCTAAATTGGAAAGGAAGAAATAAAACTGTCAATATTTGCAGATGACATGATTTTATATATAGAAAACCCTAAAGAATCCACCAAAAAACTATTAGAAATAATAAATGAATACAGTAAAGTTGCAGGGCACAAAATCAACATACAAAAATCAGCTGCGTTTCTACACACTAACAATGAAATAGCAGAAAGAGAAATGAAGAATTCAATCTCACAATTGCCAAAAAAAAAAAAAAAACCAAAGAATAAAGAATAAAGATTCTTCAAAAAAGAATAAATTTAACAAAAGAGGTGAAAGCCCTGTATACTGAAAGCTATAAAACATTGTTGAAAGAAATCAAAGAAGACACAAAGAAATGGAAAGATAATCCGCACTCATGGGTTGGAAGAATTAACATAGTTAAAATGTCCATACTTCCAAAAGCTATTTACAGATTCAATGCAGTCTCTATCAAAGTCTCAATGACATTTTTCACAGAAATATAATAAAGAATCCTAAAATGTATATGGAACAACAAAAGACTCCCAGTAGTCAAAGCATTTCTGAGAAAAAAGAACAAAGCTGTAGGTATCACATTCCCTGATGTCCAAATATACTGCAAATCTACAGTAATCAAAATGGCATGGTCCTGGCAGAAACACAGACACACAGATTAATAGAAAAGAATTGAGAGCCCAGAAATAAAACCACCCATCTATGGATAGTTAATATTTGACAAAGGAGCCAAGAACATACAATGGAGAAAGGAAAGTCTCTTCAATAAACGGTGTTGGGAAAACTGGACAGCCACATGCGAAACAATGAAAGTAGACCATTATCTTATACCATACACAAAAATTAACTCAAAATTGATTAAAGCCTTAAATGTAAGACCTGAAACCATAAACCTTCTAGAAGAAAATATAGGCAGTATGCTCTTCAACATTGGTCTTAGCAGTATCTTTTTGAATAACATGTCTCCTCAGGGAAGGGAAACAAAAGAAAAAATAAACAAATGGGACTACATCAAACTAAAAAGCTTCTGCACAGCAAAGGAAACCATCAAGAAAACAAAAATACAACCTAACAAGTGGGAGAAGATATTTGCAGATCATATATTTGATATAGGGTTAATATCCAAAATATACAGAGAACTCATACAACTCAACAACAACAAAAAGCAATACAACCCAATTAAAAAGTGTGCAAAGGATCTGAACAGACATTTTTCCAAGGAAGATATACAGATGACCAACAGGCTCATGAAAAGTTGTTTAACATCACTAATTATTAGGGAAATGCAAATCAAAACTACAATGAGATATCACCTCACACCTGTCAGAATGGCTATAATAACAAGACAAGAAATAATAAGTGTTAGAGAGGATGTGGAGAAGAGGGAACACTTGTACACTGCTGGTGGGAAGCTGAACTGGTGCAGCCACTATGGAAAACAGTATGAAGAGTCCTCAAAAAATTAAGAATAGAACTACTATATGATTCAACAATTGCACTCTGGGTATTTATCCAAAGAACATGAAAACACTAATTTGAAAAGATATTTGCACCTCTATGTTCATTGCAGCATTATTCACAATAGCCAGGACTTGGAAACAACCTAAGTGCCCATCAATGGATGAATGGATAAAGAAGATGTGGTATATATACACATGGAATACTACTCAGCCATATAAAAGATGAAATCTTGCCATTTGAGACAACAGGGATGGACCTTGAGGGTATTATGCCAAGTGGAATAAGTCAGACAGAGACAGTCAAATACTGTATGATTTCACTCATACGTGAAAGATAAAAACAACAACAACAAACAAACACATAGATACAGAGATTAGATTGGTGGTTATGAGAGAGGAACAGGGGAGGGAGGAGGGTGAAAGGGGTAATAGGGCACATGTGTATGGTGACAGATGGTAATTAGTCTTTGGGTGGTGAACATGATGTAGTCTACACAGAAATCTGAACATAATGATGTACACCTGAAATTTATATAATGTTATAAAACCAATGTACCTCAAAAAAAAGATCCATTCAGTTTTTGTCCTACTCTTTTCTTCTTTCTCATTCTGGAACAAATAGTCATTCAACTTTAGGACAAAATTAATCTCTTTTCACCTTATCAAAAGCATGTCCTTCATATCTTTCCTTATCAAAAACACATCTCATTTTCCTTGCATACAGTTATTTTCTTTACCCTTATTATTCCCAGTAACTTCATTTACATATATTGGTTAGAATTTTTAACCATAAGAAACCTTTCTTTTATAGAGAAAACAAGGAGGTAAGCAATTGGGAACTGTCTGCCACATACTATCATTCTGTAGTGAATTTATGAATACATCATTTCATAATATCTAGAGGCATATGTCTTTTTCATAGTACAATTTCTTATGTTTATTTACAGACAAATATATTTAGCTTCTCTATACTGTATAAAAACAAGATGCCAAAAGTAAATAAACTTACATTTAGCAGTTAATTTTTCAATATTTTATGTTATTTGAAAACTAGATAATCAATGAACATCCATCATTTAACTTAACTTAGTATAACTTTAAGGTTTCAAGTTATCAAAAAGATTTCTTAAACTATTTTTACGTAGATATAGTATAAAGCATAATTATTGTTGAAAAGTTCATTTATAGGGCCCGCCCCATGGCTTAGCGGTTAAGTGCGCGCGCTCTGCTACTGGCGGCCCGGGTTCGGATCCCAGGTGCGCACCGACGCACCACTTGTCCCGTCATGCTGAGGCTTCGTCCCACATACAGCAACTAGAAGGATGTGCAACTATGATGTACAACTATATACTGGGGCTTTGGGGAAAAAAATGGAGGAGGCTTGGCAATAGATGTTAGCTCAGGGCTGGTCTTCCTCAGCAAAAAGTGGAGGATTAGCATGGATGTTAGCTCAGGGCTGATCTTCCTCACACACACACAAAAAAGTTCATTTATAAACTCTTGTCCCATTTACATTTATTTAATTTACTTGTTCTTAACAATTATGCTTGAATTTCTCATGAAAATTTCATAAGACATTAAACAAAGGCAGCTGTCATCTTAAGTTACTTTTCTTGTTGACAAATCAGGCAAGTATCAAAAATATCACAGATGCCAAGATTCTAAAAAGTTACACATATGGTTTTTCCATCATTTTTTTCTTACTGACATGCTTGACATACATCTAGAAATTCAATTTTATTTTACATTTTGTTATTAGGTTGGATTTATAGTTTTACAATCTTAAACATCTAGAAGAGATAACATAAGCTTGTTTGACTGGTAAACCTGGGTAGAAAAAACTTGTGTCTGCATCATATTTAATGCTGACAACTCTGAAGACATGCTTGTTTTTATTTTACAAAAAAACTAGCTTTATTTACCATGTCATGTGAACTTAAAAAAATTTTGGGTTAGTTTCTATATTTCTGAGAGTTTTAGGAATACTTAGTTAATAAAAGTGCTCATTTATCTCTAAGCCAATTAGAATAGAACTCCTTTAAGGGATTTTAAAAATTAATTTGGTAATACCATTCAAAGGTAGAAAAATATCACTTATACATAACATATGTGCGTACATACATAAATATACAGACAGATGCAGAGATTTTATATCTTTCATTCTAAAATTTTAGCCGAGTCAGTAAAACATAGTAATACAAACTCACTGGTTTATATAAAATAATTACCTCTCATCTTTTCTCCGCTTTATATTTTTATCTGAATTGTGTTTCTGGCAAATGGGACAAGTTAAGGTTACCTGCTTACCAGTATTCGTGAGGCAGATTTTTAAAATTTTCTTCTGCCCTGGTATGTATGTGTGGGTCACTGATGCTGTGCTGTTGCTGGTGTCTCTGCAGTTGCTGGCTTTGCCGCTGGGGTCAGTGGGATGGCTGATGCCTCAGCCAAGTCTGGGATTACCTGGGCCAGAAGCTCCGCCGCTGTGGTGGGGGCAGGATGATTGTGGGGAGGGAGGGTGCCAGGTTCACGGGGCACTGTCTCAGCTGTTGCCTGTTACCTTGTGGCTGCAGGCGCTACTGCAATTGGGATGTAGGAGTCCTGTGCACACCTCTGCCACTGCTACCAGGCTCTGAGCTGAAGCTGGGGGCCCAGGAGCATAGGGCTCCACTTCTGTTGCTGCTTTGTTTCCTGTGGCCACAGGTACCACCGCAGCTGGCTGGCTGGCATTGCACCTGCATCTCTGCTGCTGCTCACGGAGTTCTGTGGGGCTGAGGGTGGCTGGCTCAGCTGCTAGGGATCCAGGATCCTGGGCTCTGCCTCTGCTGTTCCTTGGTTTAGCCTCCTTTATGTGCCCCAATCCATCCACCTTCGTATATACTGATGTGTGAATTCCTTCAGCATCTTGGTGTGTTGGGCAATGTAGCCTTTGCTGGGTTATGGATGTTTTACTCGCAGTAGATTGAAGGGGAGAGACTAAAGGATCCTCTCATGCCTCCATGATAGTGACATCCAAGACTTTATTTTTTAAGGGCAGTTTTAGCACATTTAAAAAAAGTGGAAATGGCATAAGGATTTTCTATTCTTTTCCAAGCTCCAAGAGATAATTCATCTTACAACACAGAAGTATCAACAGATACCGATTGTAAAGGATTTCCCATTTATTCCTCACACCACTGTGGTGAAGTAGGGTATTTGTCACATCCACTGAGAAAACTGAGGCTCAGAGAGGTGATAACATATAAAACTCTATCAGTTATTTCTAGATTATAGCAGAGGTCCTCCAACTACCCTGTGTCATCTGCAGGACATGTAAACACTAATTGCTGGGCCCCATCCAGGTGAGGCCCAAGAATATGCACTTCTAACAAGTTCCCAGGTGATGCTGATGCTGCTGGTGCAAGGACCACAGTTAGAGATCCACTGGTGTGGATAATAAAAAACAAACAAAACTGGCATTTATCCTTTACAGAGTACCTGGAGAATCACAGTGAGCTGAGAGGGCTGGTGGAGGTACATGGCCCAGGGTCAAAGCAAAAGGGACACAGTGTATAGTGTGCCTAGGCCCTGGACCATAGACTCAGGCAGTGGGTGACACTATGTCACCCCCCTAAAGTGTGAGGGGACCAGTCACTGGCCCATAGAACAGCTCGTATAACATTGTGATTTCCTCATGTCTCCCACCTTGGGGAGCCCTGTGGGTGAGGGATTAAGCACCAGGCTCCCAAGATCTCCCTTGATCTTAACAGCTATTCAAGTTACTTATTATTAAATTCCTAACTCAGATGAGGCTATAGAAAGTTAGGAGAGGTTAAGTAAATCAGGGAAATCACCTTGTAAATGCCTGCTCAGTAGTGGAAACCAGAACTACTCTAAAGCTTTCTCATTGTGTCCTGAAGCCACCAGGGCTCTGAATGTTCCAATCTCCCTGGGCAATTGGTGCTGGCCAGGGCATTGCTTTTTTTTTAAAAAAATAGTGAGCTATATTGCTTTTAAATGATAATATTACTGAAAAATTTAAAATGCTGTAATGGCAAAAAAAAACCCAAACAAAACAAAAAAGCTTGTCTGAAATGGCTAGAGTAAATATTTACAAGTTATCTAGGGCTAATTCTCATGATATATGAAAGCGTTCCCAGTAACAAATATAGAGAGATGGGCAAATCATGTTGCGGTAGGCAGCCACTAAGATGGCCCCAATGAGCGTACGTGCTGCCCGGGCCTCTCATGCCGAGAGGTGCTGGAAGCTGAGGACCCCATCCCCATGCGGAGCCCCAAGCATGCAGGGCCTGAGTGCCTGGGCCTCCTTTGTACAGAGTGTGCTGGCCAGGGGAAGCTCTGGTGGACGCGCTGGTGATGCCAAGCAGTTTGGGGAAGACAGACCCTGCCTGATGCCTGGGGTGAGGAAATTTCCATTCCTGGCCCTATCTTGTGACTCATCCACGCTGCCACTCCAACAGGTCAGAAGAGTGCTAGTGAGCGTTAAGTGTGTGGGTTGTGTGAATGTGCAGCATGAGTTAATCACACAAGTACATCGTACACAAAAATACACTTTTATTTGGACAATGAAAAGACCCTTACAAAGGTTTGATCTCGCTCTTCTACCTAGTTTTTTATGAGTTCCTGGCTGCACTTTTCTCATTCACAATGTGGGCTATGCTTCAGAATCTGAACAATGAGGTTCCAAAATATTGTGACCAGATTCCTAGTCCAGGACATATGTTTTTTCAAAAACTAGTGACTGCATTGGAATATTCATTCGGTAGGTCTGATCCAAGGTCCTAAGGGTAGCTTGAAGACTTAAGAAGTTTCTAAAGCCTTAATATTTAGAAGAACAGAAGAATTTCGTAGTCTGTTCTGATGGAGCACTTTTTGAACAGAAGGGTCCAATTTATGCTGCATGTCAGTTTCCTGTTGTCTTGCTTCAAGCATGCAGTGGTGTGGATGATCCTGAGTTTTGCTAGTCCAGAGGAAACTCTTGTATTCTTGTGAAAATGAACAGAATAATTGGATTAAAGACTCAAGGAGAACCAAGGATAGAATGTATTTCAAAGGATGAAAACACAGCAACTCTATCAACTTATCCTCCCAATGGAATTATAGACTTAAAATATTTTCCATATTATGGGAAAAAACTGCATGTGAGTTATCTACAGCCATTAGTTGCTATCCAGGTCCCCTTTGATGCTAGTAGTACCATAAAAGAAGTAACAGTAGAGTGCAAGATTGATGGATCACCCACCCTAAAAACCAGGATGATCGTGGCAAGTTTTTAAGGACGAGTTGTGTTCAAAATCAGAGTGCTTGCATAGTATGAGTTAGGATATCTCCACAGAGTAGATATTGTGTTGTCTGTCTTCATTTTTTTATCAGCTGGACCTGCCATTCTGGAATTATGAGACCACCTTGGAGAAAGGTGGGTGGTACATGGCACTAGGGTGACATCATAATGTGCTTCCAGGTCATAGTGTTCAATACCTTCTGAAGTAACTGCCTGTTGCCTCTGCTGCCTTTTGAACCTGGGTACAGTCGCCAGATAGGGACTATGAACACCTGATTCTGAACATGTAGAGTGGGAGTTTTGTCCTATTTATATTTGGTTTAATTGCCAAGTGTAAAGCTTAATGTGCTGTGCTATGTAAATATTTTATAGATTTAACACTGGTTAACTGTGATATTTTGATGCCAGTAAAGTTTTAGGGATAAAATGCTGCCTGACCAATATCAAGCGACTTTATAGCTGCAAGAAATGTGGTATGTGGGAAGTTTTGTGTGTGAGGAGGAAAAAAGAAAATAAAAGTGGATTTGAAATGTTCTCTTGGATCTTTTGTAAAATTATTTTTTACGTGCTGCATTAGTCTTTGGATCTTTTTGATTAAGAGCACAAACTTTTTGTTGTAAAACATGTAAAAAAATTATAATGGGGGCCGGCCCCGCGGCTTAGCAGTTAAGTGCGCACGCTCTGCTACTGGCGGCCCAGGTTCGGATCCTGGGCGCGCACGGACGCACTGCTTCTCCGGCCATGCTGAGGCCGCGTCCCACATACAGCAACTAGAAGGATGTGCAGCTATGACATACAGCTATCTACTGGGGCTTTGGGGAAAAAAAGGAGGAGGATTGGCAATGGATGTTAGCTCAGAGCTGGTCTTCCTCAGCAAAAAGAGGAGGATTAGCATGGATGTTAGCTCAGGGCTGATCTTCCTCACAAAAAAAATAAAATAAAAATAAAAATTATTAAAAAAAAATTATAATGATGGGATTATTTTTAGCGCTGGAACTAAATCTCTTGTAGATTAAAATATTTTAGACCATAGATGAAACATAGCATTTTTAGGTTAGCCAGTATGAATATGCACCTAATTTGTTATGAAATTAAATTCATAAGATTTAAATTGTGCAATAATTTGTGAAATATCTTGTTACTGCTTTTATTTAGCAGACTGTGGACTCTAATAAAAAATATAAATTGTGAAATATAAAAAAAATAATAAGATGGCCCCAATGAACCATGCCTCCTGATATTCATGCACATGCGTAATCCCTATCCTTGAGTGTGTGCTAGGTTAGCAGAAATAAGTAGTGAGGCCTGGAATTACTCTAAAGCTTTGCCCTTTGTGTCCTGAAGCCACCAGGGCTCTGAGCCCTCTAATCTCCCTGGGAGGTGGCACTTGACGCTCCCTAGGGTACTGCTCAATTTCTATTATAATGAGCTGTATTATTCATTTATTTATAAAATATACATAACATAAAATTTACCATTTTAATGTTTTTTGTGTACAGTTCAGTGGTATTAAGTACATTCATATTGTTTGTACAACCATCACCACTGTCCATCTCTGGAACTCTTTTCATCTTGCTCCATACCCATTAAACAATAATTTCCCGTTCCTCCTCCTCCAGCCCCTGGCAACCACCATTCTATTTTCTGTCTCTATGAATTTGACTACTCCAGGTGCCTCACATAAGTGGAACCATACAATATTTGTCCTTTTGTGTCTGGCTTCTTTCACGTGGCATATTGTTTCCAATGTTCATTCATATTGTAGCATGTATCAGAATTTCATTTCTTTTTAAGGCTCAATAATATTCTATTGTATGGATATGCCATATTTTGTTTATCCACTCATCTATCAATGGACATTTGGACTGTTTCCATCTTTTGTCTATTGTTAAAGAAAACCAGAGCTATATAGTAAAAGCAGTAAAAACAGATTTTATTAGGGAACTATTGTGATAGGAGAAAAGAGACCTCAGATTAGAACTGAGCTCAATTCTGAATACAGCATGGGCAAGTGGGGATTTATAACCAAGAAACAGGGTGGGGCTCAGTGGATGGAGAACAGAAGTGAAAATATCAGGGGTAAAGGGGAGATACTAGTTAAACTGACCTGATCAGGATTCTTGCTGAAGACAGGTCAGGGTGATCAGATATCAAGGGTGGGTATTCTTGCCAAATTGACTTAGCTGAATTTTTGCTTAAATTGGACTATGCAAAAATGAGCACGGAAGTCCAAAGGTCAAGACCTAGTTGAGAAGAGGGTTCATAAGAGCCTGACTAAAGTTTTGTCAAAGAGAGAGTCTTGTCAGTGTGAGTAATACTACTATGAACATTGGTGCACAAATATCTGTTCAAGTCCCTGCTTTAACTTCTCTTGTGTATATACCCAGAAGTTGGATTGCTGGATCATATGGTAATTCTGTGTTTAATTTTTTTGAGGAACTGCCATACTGTTTTCCACAGTGGCTCCATCATTTTACATTCCCACCAGCAATGAACAAGTTTCCAATTTCTCCACATCCTCACCAACAATTGTTATCTTCTGCTTTAAAAAAAAATAGCTATCCTAATGGATGTGATTTACTATTTATTTTTAAAATAAACTTTATTTTGTAATAATTATAGACTTACAAAGCAGTATAATTTTCATTATTAAAATTGAAAAATTTAAAACACTGTGTATGGCAGAAGAAAAGGTAAAAGTTTGTGAAAAGTAGAGAGAAAATATTTGGGGTTCATATTTCTGATACGTTAGGCAGACTTACTAACCAACATATAGGTGGTCAATGATGTCAACAGAAAATTCACTTAAAGAGCAATATTTGTGCCCAATAAACATTAGCTAATGAATGCTAGTGAAAATCATAGATATCATATTAAGTGAAATAGACAAATTGCAGAAGAATATGTATAACATGATTGCAATTTTGAAAAATATGTGTATTTTAGTATATTTTATGTATTTTTGTTTATATGTAACTATACATTAATAAGTTATGTACAGAGAAACATACCTGGAGAATATGCACCTGTCTATTTTCAGTGACTATCTTTGGGTCAAGGGAGTGAGGGTCAGGCAAGTGGGATACACAGGATAATTTCCTTTTTTTTTTCTTCTTTTTTTTTTTTGTGAGGAAGATCAGCCCTGAGCTAACATCTGTCGCCAATCCTCCTCTTTTTGCTGAGGAAGACTGGCCCTGGGCTAACATCTGTGCCCATCTTCCTCCACTTTATATGGGACGTTGCCACAGCATGGCTTGACAAGTGGTGCGTCAGTGCGCGCCCGGGATCCGAACCCCGGGGCCGCCGCAGCAGACTGCATGCACTTAACTGCTACACCACCGGGCCGGCCCCAGGATAATTTCAATTTACACATATATGCTTTTGTTTTGTTTGAAATTTTGAAATTAGGAAAATTTATTAAGATAAAAATTTGTAAAGAGCAAAAATATGTAACCCAACTGACAAAAATTAGGTACACATATATTATGTTCTAGAAATGTGTTCACAATATACTGGTTTGTTGGGAAAAGAGTAGATTAAGGCAACTGATTTGATAGTGTGTCTCTGTATGTGTGTGTTTCTGTGTCTCAAACTTCTTCACTCCAGGTAATCACATGCTTACACATGCATCTTTCTCTTCACCTCGGGCAGGAGACAGATGTCTAGTTTTAGGGCTAGAGACCACAAAAGGTCCTATATTCAGAGAGATTGCTGCCAGTGGGTAGTAAATTCTAGAAAGACCTGACCGAGGCCAAGTCTAAATCCTTCCCTAATTTTCTCCTATCCTTACAAAGCCTCCTATCGGGAGACTTTCTGTATTGCAACTCTGATTCTGATCACCAGGTGGCATCTGTTCTGTCTCCATTTTTTCTCTTTTTTAAAGAAAAGGCATTTTTTTAGAAGAAACAAAATATTATTTTTAAAGTTGCTTATTAAATAGTTTGTATAAGATGATACAAATTGTGTTTGAAAAATGTTTTTTTATATAAAGAGACCAAAAGGATATCTATTCGGTTTCATATATACTTTATTCGTCTCTCTCTCTCTGTCTTCATCAAGGTCTGCTAACCTGTTCACACTATAGAGAGGGCACCCTGGGGGGAAAGCAGGTGGTTTAAGCCCCCACGTACCATACCTCTGCAATGGCTTCCCACACCTTCCACCTGCTTCTGTCTAGACCACTTTACACACAGCTGCCCAGAGCAGTTCCCTTGAAGCTAGCTCTGAAATCATCACACAAACACCCTCAGAGGCGATCCACTATCTGCCAAAGAGAACTGCAAACTCCTTTCCCCAGGTTGCATTCTCCACCCCATGGATCCAGACTACATTTCCAGCTTTGTCTCTCAAGTGCTCCGTGCTCTGGGCAACCTGCACTGTGGGCTGCTCCCTCAAGGCACTCCTGTGTTCCCTCTGTGCCTCTTTAATTGGGAGGGATCAATTTGCACAGAGCTTGGCCCTTGCATGTACATGGTGGCATTACATACTTAGATCAACGCTTTGAGGGAGAATTGTTATCCTCATACTAAAGATGTAGCAACTGAGTCTCAGGGAGGGTGAGAACAAGCCTTGTCTTTGGGAAAGATACTGGGGTTACAGAAGTAAGATACCCAGTGGTAGCTTGGTAGTGGAAATGAACTGTATTATTTTGCTCTAGAACAAAGAAGAATGGATATAATGCTCACCATTACTAAATGCCTGCTATGGGTAATATTAATCTTATTTTTCCTAGAATTTAACTGATACATGTTCTTTGAAGAACGTTTGGGAAATACATTAAAAAAAAAAGAATAGGAATAAACACCCACAATCCCACAACCTGAACAGGCCATCCCTTTCTAAGATTTGCTGACATCTAGTGGTAGAGTCAAGAATACCAAATTATACCTATAAATCAAGATAGGTCGAGATAGAGTAAAACATTTCCAAGTTCCATACAGCCTGGGTTCTTACCCTGGCTTTGACACACATAACTTCCCAATTTTACCACATTGCTCCCCCTTTTGGATAATGGACTTCTAGGGAGCAGGATCTAGCTGTGTTACATTTGCTTGGAATGGTGCACATATATTATGAAATGACACATATAGGTGCCAGTTCATCAACTTCTCTTGATGAGATGAGGAAAGGGAAATAAAAATCCTTTCCTTGTGCTAAAGGGCTGAGGTGTAGGGCTGACATCACTAGGTTTCCAAGGCAGTGACATATAGAGGAAAGCACAGGTTTTGGGATCTCAGATGGGAGTGGGGAATGCAGGCAAGAGATCTAATATTTATT